CTCAAAGTAAAGCTGACATTAATGATGTAAATGGACCAAAGCTTTTGAGACCTTCATTTGTTGATGTGGCACAACTTAAAATTGAAAGAAACAGCTGCAAATACCCATTAATAATTGGAGCTTAGAATGTACAAGGAGTCCTGGTATGGCACTACACTGAAAAGTCGCTTGAACTGCAAGGTCAGTGGTTCAAGCTCACCAGTTGCTCCTCAGAAACCCTATATAGGGTTGCTGTGGGTCAGAATCGACTTGACAACATTTAACAACAACACCAGAATGTACAAAGTATGAATTTAGGAAAACTGGGAGTCATCAGAAGTGAAATGGAATGCATAAAGATGATTCGGAAGATCTCTACCTGGCCATTTGATTGGAAGAGATTTATATTTGTTCCCATTCCAAAGAAAGAGGACCCATCAGATGGTGGAAATCGTCAAACAATATCAGTATCACTTGCAAGTAAAATTTTGCCGCGGATAATTTTTAAATGGTGTAGCAGTACTTTAACAGGAAGCTGCCAGAAATTCAAGCCAGATTTAGAAGAGGACATGGAATTAGGGATATCATTGCTGACATCAAATGGATCTTTTTGCTAATAGCAGATAATACCAGAAAGAAGTTTACATGTGCTTTATTGACTACATGTTCTTTATTGACTACGCAAAGGCATTTGATTGTGTGGGTCATAACAAACTATGGATAACATGGCATTCTAGAACACTTAATTGTGCTCATGAGGAACCTGTATACAGACTAGCAGTAGATGTTCAAAAAGAACAAGGGGATACAGAATGGTTTAAAATCAGGAAAGGTGTGTGTCAGGGTTGTATTCTTTCACCATATTTATTCAATCTGTATGTTGAACAAATAATCCAAGAAGCTGGATTATATGAAGAAAAATATGGCATCAGGACTGGAGGAAGACTCATTTAACAACTGCGATATGCAGTTGACACAACCTTGCTTTGCTGAAAACAGTGAGGTCTTGAGGCACTTAAAGTGTTAAAGAGCAAAGGTATAATCTTGAGGACTAAAGTGTGCCTGACCCACGTCATGGTATTTACAATGATCATATATGAGTGTGAAAGTTGGACAATGAATATGGAAGACCGTAAAAGAATCAATGCAATTGAATTATGGTGTTAATGAAGAATGTTGAAAGTACCATGGACTGCCAGAGAACAAACAAATCTTTGCTGGAAGAAGTATAGCCAGAATGTTCCCTGGAAGTGAGGATGACAAGACTTCATCTTTCATTCTTTGGATATATTGTCAACAAAAACCATCCCTGGAGAAGGACATCATACTTAGTAAAGTTGGAAGTTCACTGAAAAAGAGGAAGCCCCCCAACATGGTGGATTGACAACATGGCAACAACTTTGGGCTCAAACAGAACAATTGCGAGGCTAGTGCAAGAGGCAGTGGTATCTACAACAACAGTTCCTGCTCATCTTTGCTTTAGAGTAATTGTTGATGTTTTAGTCTCATATGTTGTTGTTGTTGTTAGGTGCCATCGAGTCAGTACCAACCCATAGCAACCTATGCACAGCAGAACGAAACACTGCCCAATCCTGGGCCAACCTCACTACTGTTGCCATGCTTGAGTCCATCGATGCTGCCACTTGGCCAGTCCATCTCGATGGGGGTCTTTCTCTTTTTCTCTGACCCTCCACCTTACCAAACATGATATCCTTCTCCAGCAACTGGTCCCTCCTGACAATATGTCCGAAGTATGAGAGATGAAGTTTGGCCATCCTGGCCTCCAAGGAGCACTCTGGTTGCACTTCTTCCAAAACAGATCTGTTGGTTCTTTTGGCAGCCCATGGCACTTTCAATATTCTCCTCCAACACCATAACTCAAAAGCATCAACTCTTCTATGTTGTTGTTGTTGTTATGTGCCATGGAGTCGGTTCTGACTCATAGAGACCCTACACAGGGTTTGCGAGGCTGTAAGTCTTTTACGGGAGCAGATCGCCTCATCTTTCTCCCGCAGAACCGCTGGTAGTTTCGAACTGCTGACCTTGCGGCTCGCAGCCCGATTCATAACCACTATGCTACCAGAGCTCTCTCAACTCTTCTATAGTGTTCCTTATTCACTGTCCAGCTTTCGCATGCATATGAGGTTATTGAAAATACCATGGCTTGGGTCAGGCACACCTTAGTCTTCAAGCTGACATCTTTGCTCTGCAACACTTAAAAAAGGTTTTGTATAGCAGATTTGCCTAATGCAATACGTTGTTTGATTTATTGACTGCTGCTACCATGAGTGTTGATAGTTGATCCTAAAAGAATGAAGTCCTTGACAACTTCAGTCTTTTCTCTGTTGATAAGAATGTTGTTTATTGGTCCAGTGGAGAGGATTTTTGTTTTCTTTACATTGAAATGCAATCCCTACCGAAGGCTGTGCTCTTTGATCTTCATCAGTAAATGTTTTAAGTCCTCTTCACTTTCAGCAAGCAAGGTTGTATCGTCTGCATATTGCAGGTTGTTAATGAGTCTTCCTCCAATCCTGATGCCACGTTTTTCTTCATAGAACCCAGCTTCTCGTATTATTGGCTCAGCATACAGGTTGAATAAGTATGGTGAAAGTATACAACTCTGTCGCACACCTCTCTTAATTTTAAACCATTCAATGTACCCATGTTCTACAGATTCCGCATGAGCAAAATCAAGTGTTCCGGAATTCTCATACTTCGGAATGTTGTCCATAGCTTGTCATGATCCACACAATTGAAAACCTTTGTGTAGTCAATAAAGCACAAGTAAACATCTTTTTGATATTCTCTCCTTTCAGCCAAGATCCATCATTGAGCATTTGTTATTTCATTAAGAGGTGACCTCAGGAGATAGTTTTGATTCCAAGTTTAAAGAGGCAATTATCTCTGGACTCTTAAGAATTTGAATTCTATTCCCTGTTTTTCTCCTATTCTATAAGGATCCATCTATTGTGACCCTGATAATGAATATTCGGGTTAGATGATGCCATAGCTCATGTGGGTCCTTAGCCTTGTAGACTAGATTTTTTCTCTAAGACTTTGGTTTCCATCTTTCTCTTTTGCTCCTGAGTTGTTGTTGTTGTTGTTGTTGTTGTTAAATGCTGTTGAGTCAGTTCCAACTCATTGTGACCCTGCATAGGGTTTCCAAGGAGTGGCTGGTAAGCTTCAACCACCTACCTTGCAGTTCAAACCGATCTTGCAGTCCAGAGCATTAAACCACAGTGAAACCAGTTGTATCTTAGATGGCTGCTCGAGAGCTTTTAAGATCCCAAACACTGCCTACTTGGACTAGAATGATCTTTGTGATGTCTGTTGGCTGAGTTGTCCGCTGTGACTAAGGTTCTCAGCCTTCAATCCCAGAAAACCGATTTCTGAAATCATTTTTCTGGGATTGAAGACATATTTGGTTATATCTGAGAAGATCTGTAATTGTCCTCTGTGAAAGCTGGGGTGGATTCAAAATTCAAAAAATTAGTGGAAAAAATTCATTATCTTTTTTTTTTTTACGTTTTTATTGTGAATTATGTGATAATTTACATGGGATAACACCAGCTTTACATTCATCCTATCGTATTTCATTTCATTGCAATGATTATAATCCCCTCCATACATCATCAAACAACCAAATGTTACACCCCACAAGCCTGCCCCCCAGCCGTCAGCACACAGATCCTCTCCCTCCCTGAGTCCAGAGTCCCCAGCTGCTCAAAAAAATTCATTATATTTTATTTCACTTGTCCACAAATTTTTAAGTCACATCAGATATATGTACCACATTTGCTCATCTGAAGGGTATTTAGGCTGTTTCTTTCTTTTTTTTCTTGGCTTTTGTTACTAATGCTGTAGTAAACATAGATGTGTATATGTAAATCCATGTCTCTTTTACTAGACCTCCAGGGTATGTTATTAACAGTAGGATTGCTGGATCGTAAGGTATTTCTATTTCTAATTTTTTCAGGAAGCACCACACCATTTTTCATAGTGGTTTTATACCATTTCATGGTCTCCCCATATCCTCCCCAACATTTGCTGTTATCTCTTTTGTTTTTTATTAGTGCTATTTTAGCCATGATGAGATGATATCTCATTGTAGATTTGATTTGCTTTTCTCTAATGGCTAATGATCACAAGGATCTTTTCATGTCCTCTTTTGAATGTCATCTTTTGTTGAATTGTCTGTTCATGTCTTTTTCCCACTTTTTAATTGGATTGTTTATCTTTCTGTTTTTGAGTTGCTGAAGTTTTCTAAATGTCTAAGAGACTCAATCCTTATTGGATATGTCATTTCCAAAGACGTTTTTCCTTGTAAGTAGAAGCCATTTTGACCATAGCTGTATCTCTGTTTCCAGGTTTATAGAAGTCCTAGTTGTAACATTCTTTTTTTTTTTTTTTTAATGTTTTATTGTGAATTATGTGATAGTTTACATGGGAGAACATCAGCTATACATTCATCCTATTGTATATCGTTTCATTGCCATGGTTACAATCCCCTTCATGCTCCATCAAACAGCCAAAGCCTGCCCCTAGGTTGTCAGCACACAGCTCCGCTCCCTCTCTGGGTCTAGAGTTCCCAGCCATTCCATCTCTCCACATCATTAGTTGTAACATTCTTGAACACTTATTTTTCTAATCCTTTTAAAATCACATTTGAAATAAAAAAAAAACAAAAAATGAATGCTTTGTACATTCTATTTGGTTAATTTTTGTTTGTGTGTTTACTCAGATTATCAGCTCACTGCTGAGAATCTAAGAAGGCATACAAGAGGGAACATACAGACCTGAGGTTTAAGCACCAACCTAATCTATCCAGCCAAAACTATAAAAATGAATAAGTGAATCAGTACTACAGAGCTGTAATCTAGGAAAAAGAGAATATTCAGACAGAAAAAACCAAAAACTTGATGTTTCTTTTTCTTTACCCAACTCTTTTATTTTTTTGTATGTAGAGATTTGGACTATTGGTATAACCATGAATTATTAGGTATGATGTTTTATTTTATTAGGTTGGAATGAAGTACAGAAACCTAATCCTGAAACCTGGGGGATCTCTGGACGGCATGGACATGCTCCAGAATTTCTTGAAACGTGAGCCAAACCAAAAAGCATTCCTAATGAGTAGAGGCCTGCAGGTTCCATGAACTGGGATTTTTGGTAGCAGTCCATGTCTGGAGGACAAGTCGGCATTGCCATGTGATACTGGCCTAGAAATTGAAAGGAGTTTTGCAAGTGAAAGTTTAAATTTCTATCAACTTTGTTTTGTGTTTTCATTTAAAAATGATACAGATGCAAATGTAATTACAAATACTGTGACCTAAAAAAGACTCAACTGAAAGTAACTGTACTATAAAATTTCATAAAAATGGATTTGATTTCTTTTTATAAATGTTTCATATAAATGTAGTTTGATTTTTTACTGATAATCTAGGTAATATAATGTAAGAGGGCTAAGAATTTTTAAATTGAATCGTATGCATTATATAATTCGATCCTTCATATTTTGAAATTTTGTACTTGGGATTTCTGAACTTATAAATGAATCACACATATTTCTCTGGTAAATATTTTCTTGGACCCTTCATCAACTTTGATTTTCTTTCTCACACTACATGTGACCTCTTTGCCCATATACCCGAGGGCCAGGGGAATATGCCTTTATCTCGGTCTCCCAGGCCTCATGTTTTCCAACTTTTTGCCGCCACACTGGAATCCTGTGCCTCTGGGTTTGTGGAAATAGGACAGTCAGAGAGTGACAATTAATTACAGGTTTTAACTGAATTGGTCTATTGTAGATAGCAAGTTTTATATCTTACATTAGAGGAGTCACCCCTTCACACTGCCGTATACAATAAGACTGTCGCCTTGTGAAATGTTTGCCAGATTAAGACACTAAAGCAAGTACAAGGATCATTTTTCTACTTACACTTTGTAAATAAGTGGTAGGGACTTTGCCTTTTTATTGCCCACCTCACCAGAACTGTCAGGTAGACATGTCACAAATGGCTGTTTAGAATGCCACGGGAAGAAAGCTAAGCTGCTATGGAGTTACGAAGCATTCTTCAACTTCATCTGAGGAGTGGGTTCTGGACAGAAGCCATCGAAGCCAGCTACTCCAGACTCTGAGGGAAGAGGCTCTGCAGTAGCCTGTTACGTCTGGTGATGTTTTTTGTGTGTTTTTTAAAGTGAGCCTTTGTATCTCTATAAACTCATTTGTAGGAGCTCTGGTAGTGTAGTGGTTATGAATCAGGCTGCTAACCTCAAAGTCAGAAGTTCGAAACTACCAGCTGTTCCACGGGAGAAAGATGAGGCTTTCTGCTCCCGTAAAGATTTACATCCTCGGAAACGCTGTACAGGGTCATTGTTGTGTGTCAGAACTGACTCCACGGCACATAACTACCATAACTCTCTTCTAGAGGCCGAAGTTCAAGTTCTGCAAATGACCACTAGACTGACTTTTCCTCTAGGAGTCTATTTTTAAAAGGAAGCCAAGACAGGGTAATCTAAAAACAAAAATATCTTTGAATGTTCTCTGCATAGATCTTCCCGTTGCTTTCCAGTGTATATTTGAGATGTTACTTTTCTGGCCAAGGACAAAATTAGAGTCTTCCTTTCCTTTTTGGAGGAGCCCTGGTGGTTTAGTGCTTTGCGTGTTGGGCAGCTAACCGCAAGGTCAGCAATTTGAATCCACCAGCCGCTGCTCCTCGGGAGAAAGTTAAGACTTTGCACTGCTGTAAAGACTTACAGCCTCAGAAACTCAATACAGGGTCCCATGACTTGGAACTTACTCAACAGCACATAACAGCATCCTTTTGTTCAAATAGATGTTGATTGTACTAAATGAGAATTATTATACTAAATAATAAAATTATAGACATAAGAAAAAACTAAGTGCTCTAGAGCCAGAAGGAAATTCTAAGATTATTGTTGCTAAGCAAATACCTTAAACTTCCACATGAAATCCTACCCTCTCGCCTGAGACACTTTGTCTAGCCCTTCTTTTTCTTCCACAATTCACCATCACTTCCTCTGATCCCTAAAGCTGTTTTCTTGTACCATTTTGTTGTTGTGTTGTTGTTGTTTAGAAGGTTCTGTTTTCGAGTTTCAATAAAAACTCTCTTCAGCTTTTTCCGTTACCTAATGTGTCGCCTCAGCGTTATCATTTTAAACCCTAACTTATTTCACATGGAAAAACTAATAATTGCTACACAAAATAAAGTTCCATGATCACACATGAAAATGAACTTAACTTCACTCACACTTTAAAGTTAAAATTGAAAAATATAAGAGAGCTAAAGCACTATTGTGCCCTCCTTTTTATTTCAGGTCTCCATCTAATATTTGAAATCTACTTAAGAGCAGCAACAAAATTAAATCCTCTCACACACAAAAATGTTCTCTCGAATATTTCAAAAATAGTCTATTTTGTACAACCTTTTTTAATGTGACCATCCATCTGTTTCCCTCCCCTCCCCCCTCCCCCCAATCAAAGCATGGAATATCACTGAGGCAGCCTAAATAGTGAAAAACAGTAAAAATTGTAGCTGGGCATACTTGCACTTCAGATATATGGACTGAGCCACACATAATAAAATCTCTTGGATATTGATCTAGAGGATCCATGCTTCAGGTCTTCATCAGGGTCTTTTTACTTTGGTAAGGTCAAGTTCCTTTTTTCTTTTGTTAACATTTTATTGTAAATTGGGTTAAGGTTTACAGAGCACATCTCTCTTCCATTCAACAGTTTATTCATATTTTGTTTCATGTCATTGATTCTAGTCTCTGTAATATAATGTCACTTGTCCCACTTCCTCCCTGGGTTTCCCATGTTCATGCTTCCTCCTCTCTCAGCCCTCCTGAACTTTGTCCTTGGGTAAAACCTGCCCTTTTGATGGTTGGTTATTCTACGGAATGTGTACCTCTCTACTGTTGTTCCCCTTATTAATGTGTCTGGTGTTTGCCTGAAAATTGATTCCTAGGGCTGTGTGCAGTTCCAGACCTAAAGGGTAACTAAGGACTATAGTTTTGGGGGTTCCACCTGTTTCTTTCTGACCAATAAACCTTTTTAGAAAAAAATGTTTAAATGATTTTGAGTTTTCTGCATTTTCTCCCACTCTGTCTAGGTCCATATAATGTGACCCCTTTCAGAGCCATTGGTAGTGATACCCAGGCACCATCTGGTTCTGGTCTCAGGGTTGTGGTAACAGAGGACCACATGATCCATTAATCCACTGGACTAGTTTCCATGTGTCTTCAATTTTCTTCATTCTTCCGTCCTCTGAACAGGGAGAGACTTGGTAGTGCACCTTAAGTGGCTGCTCACATGTGTTTAAGACCCCCGTTGCTATTCGCCAAAGTAGGATGTAGAGCACTGTCTTTTTTATGCCAATTGACCTTGGTGTCCCCAAGAGCATGGTCCTCAGCCCCCAAACCCAATGACCCATTCCCTCAAGGTGTGTTTAATTATATCTAAGAACTTTTCATAAATTTGCCCCTGTATGTTCCACCACACTGATGGATATATTTGCAGCATAGGAAAATACACATAAGGGCAAGGTCTTCAACATCATCTGCTAACAATACAGCAGCCTTGATTGCTAGAAGTTTCATTTTAAGGTAATTCAGAGAAAAAATAAGTCCTGATGTTATGCTACCTTAACAGATTTCTTTTTCCTTCTAATATAAATGTTGCATGTTTCCAAGATAAATAATTTAGAGTTATTACTTGAGTTATTTTCACCAAGATCTTTCTAAAGCTAATATGATTAAAGATGGATATCTGCAGTGCTGTAGACTTAAATGCATTGTGTAAGAGGTTAAAGTTGAGAAAGTCTCTTTTTAAAGAAAAAATCTTTTTGTACTGTTAAAAGTCTTAACGTGGGATAATTTCATGTTCTATTTTGCCGTTTAGATTGTGGTCTAAAGTGTCTGAATTAAAGATATATGGAAAGTCTTCCTTCCCAGTTATTCACAAGAAGAATTTTCCACACTCTGAGAAAACTGCTATAAAATACTAATCCTTTAAATCAGATGTAAGCTTTGTTAACTGAGCAAAGTTGAAGACTATTAAATGAGAAATCCTATCTCTTTGGAATAGATGCAGAGACCAAGACTTCGTTCTTCCCTCACCACACTGTTGATATAGTATGTGTCTCCCACATGAATTTGGATAGCCCCTCGAAACTGAATACGCCTTCTTTTACGAATGTTCAGTGAGAATAAAAGCAAAAAAGACATACATGTCCTCATTCTCCTTGAAAAGTAGTCAGCGTCAAACTTAAATTTTCAGTCATCTTTAGTAGGGAAGTTTGCACTGGAAACAACTCCAACTAGTTAAGTTAAAAACTGTAAATGCTAAATCAAAGTAACCTTTCCCAACATACCCACATTGTAGAAAGGAAGAAATAACTTTTAAAAGACAGAGGCAATGAACATAACCTCCCCCTCTCCCACCAGTGTGTGATTCTTGAGTTGTTTTGGGTTGGATTCAACTTGTCATTCCTTTTGCTATAAAACAAAGATCTGATGGATCTCTTCATATAAAAGTGAGGGAAGGGGTGAATTTGAAACAGACTCTTACTTCTCCCAGGAGCCGGCAGCATTCTAGCTGCCCACTGTTTCACAGAGCCTGAAGGCTCTCCTAAACTTTTACTTTCTTAAGAAAATTGTCTCCACACACAGAGTAGACAGGGATGGGCAACTTGGACATTGGATACCCAAAATGGGGGGCGGGGGGCTACAAAGACAAGAAGTGACTGGCTTACAAGCTTACAAGAGGGAACCTGGATCCAGAGGGCCTGGAGGAAGGTAGAATCTCCAGTGAGTAGTATTCAATCTGACTAGGCGGAGCTGATGCAATGAAATGCAGACGGGTCTCAGATGCATCTCTTGTGATACAATAGTGAATAATTGTTATCAGGACTGATTGTGAGGGTCGGAAATGTAAAGGTAGACATTTTATAGCAAGGAGGGGAGTGATTAACTTTTCAGTCTAGGAGCAGAGGTCCCTAGGACCATCAAGGGAGAAGAGCAGAGTAAGACCCTACCCAGAGAAGCAGTGATGCCTGAAATGGAGCCAGAGATGATGACGTGGAGCAATGGAGCAGCTGGAGACTTTAGATCCAGAGAGGGAGAGCGACTGTGTGCTGAAGACCTGAAGGGTGGGGGTGGGGGGAAGAATTGCATGGAGGGGATTGTAACCATGGCAATGAGATGATATATGATAGAATGAATGTAAGACTAATGTTCTCCCATGTAAACTATCACATAATTCACAATAAAACATTTAAGAACAAAAAAAAAAGTGTCTCCAGCACTTGTCATCTTAAGCCACATAGCTAAGAATGGTTTGAAAGTTCACTGTCCATTGAAACCAGTAACACATTTGACATTTATTGGCATCGCCATGACTGGATGGAAGATATGACTGGCTTATAGTGTACTCACATGGATTCCTAGCTAATGAAGCATCCCTAAAACAGTCAAATAATGATTTAGTGCTTTGGATGAATAAACAAGGAATTCCATAGAGAAGTATTACTGAATGTATAGATTAACAGAGCTGGAATGGTGAAATATGATGACATTATTAAAATTACAAATCATTTCAATGCTAAGACTAATTTAAGATGAATGGGACACATTCTATTGCCAAGGCCAAAGAATGGGTGTTATTTATGGGTTAAATTGTGTCAACCAATTTGAATTGCTCCCCATACCTGTA